ATTTTTAAAAATATATTTGTTCTTTTGGGTATTTTTCAGGTTTTCTTCAATAAACATGTTATTTTGAATTAAAAGGGAAATTTTCTCATTGTAAAATTATATCCAAGTCAGAAACATTCTTTTGCAGAAAATAAAATACAAATGATAATTCCGATGAGAATATTTCCTTAAAAATTCTTTTAACAATTAAATGTATGAACACAGTTTAATTAGGTTCTATTTAATGCCATGTTATTCTCTATAAAATAACTAATAAGAAGTGATATGTTTTACTTATATTTTACCTGAAGGTATAACATGTGGGTACAGTGTAAAACTAGATTTGATATTTTTAATGACTGTTTAGAATCTTCTATGTTTAGCAACTAATAATTTTACTTAAAATAATTAGTTTGTGGTAAAAGACAAATACCATATGATCTCACCTATAAATGGAACCTAAATCAACAAAACAAACAAGAAAAATATAACCAGCAACACTGAAAGAAAAAACAAATCGACAGTAACCAGAGAGGAGGGAGGTGGCGGGTAACAGGGAAAAGAAGGGAAAGGGTCAAGTCAAGGAACATGTGTAAAGGACCCATGGACAAAGCCAAAGTGGGGAAGGAGTGAGGGTGGGAGGTCGGGGTGGGTGGGGCAGGGGAAAGTGGTGGCGGGAAAATGGAGACAAATGTATTTGAACAATAAAAAAATAAAATCCAAGTTTAAAAAAGAAAACTGAAAAAATAATAATTAGCTTCTGATTTCTTTGTAATAGCTAAACATTTTCTGAAGATCAGTGATTAAATAACCTAAATGGAAAAAATGTACCTTTTTCATGGAAGATTAAATAATATCAACTGAGTGCACACTCTTTTAAATAGAATTTTGAATCCTGCCAAGTAAGTAGATTTACCTTTGAGTGTGTGTACGTTAACGTTCTTTTGATTTTTTCCCTGTGCCCTTTTTTTGTGCCTTTATTAGATGGAGATTCAATTTTCTATAAACTTTGGAAGTATACATCTCAATTTACACCCACGATTTTTCTAGCATTTCTAATTTTCTTATTTTTTTTTTACCTCTTCTTGCTATTGTGTTCCCTGTTCTATCTAGTGTAACCTCCCAGGGTACTATCATCTTTGTGACAAAACATGCAAAAGGTAATTGTACAGAAACATGAAAACACTACTGCCCATTCATAATCAACTTACTAGATAATGTGTTTGTTGCAAAAATAAATATTTTTTCCAAAATATATTTGGAATATTATTTAAGAAATACCCCAAGAGGTTGTACTAAATTACTATCAGTACACTTAATGGTTTCCCAGCACTTTTGTTGGTCAGGATGACTGTGATATCTGCCTATATTCAAATAAAGCTTAGACCTTTATGTTTGAAACATAACTGGGGGGAGGGGTGTGTATAGTATTTTTTTAAATAAAATTTGAACATTCTGGCAGACACTGGTTAGCTGTTTCCCAGAATTAGATTTAATACTGAAGTGTCATTTTAACTAGTTCTGACTAAGGGCTTGAATGGCAGACAGCTCGTTGTCACCTGACACCCATTCTCACTTTTTTTCTATCAACCAAAGCCCTTACATTTTAGACAGTCTATTGGCTACTGCATCCGAGGCCACATTCAGGCCTCTGTTGCATCCAGGCTGTTACCGAACAAATGGATCCATGGGGGGTGGGTGTTCCCAAATACTATTACTGAAACAACGACCCCCACCTTTTCTGGGGTCCCTCGGTTGTAGGTCCTTTGCCCTCTGCACTTGGAATTGTGGCTCTGAGTGGCAGAGTTTGGTGAAAAGGAAGGGAACTATTTATTCAAAAGTTATACAGGTTTGATTAATGGCTAAATGTCACCTTTAAATCTCAAAATCCCTTTAAAACATCCGCCAACACACATAGTCCTACCTTCCCCCCTTTGCCCAGTCAGGCCAGTCAGGCCAGTCAGGGGCACTGTCCTTCAGAAGAAAAAGAACAGAAGCCCAGGGCTTGGCTAAGCAGGCCTCTCGCGGGTCTCAGCACCATCCACTGCGTCACCGCGATCTCCGGTTCTTATTCCAAAACCATGTGGCACCTTCTCAGGGCCCACTAGAAAGAGTCCTTTCTCCCCTTTCCTCCCTCTTGGTCTTCCCATTGTTCCCCAGAGTGTGTGTCCCTGTGTCTCTCCCACAGGCCCTGTCTCTCGTCCTTCCTCTCCCAGTCACATTCTGTATTACCAGTTTTTCTTATCTTCCTGGTTAGCCTTGTTGAGATGTAAAATAATCCTCTTTGCATATGAGGAAGGAAGCTATCCTGTTATTGACATGCGAAGTGACTCAATGGCCCTGCTCCAGGTCTCCCATCCCCCATGGCGGCCGGTCGTGGGGTGGAGAGAATATATTTTTCTTGGACACACCAATTTCTGGGCCCCATTACAAATACGCTTTGGGGGGTCCTGGCTGCGCCCCGTTACAAGGCCACCATGTGACTGCAGTCTTTCCAAAGATGTGAGCAGAAATGATGTATGAAACCTCTGGCAATGTCCTTGCTAAGAAGCTTTTTACTGTCTACATTATCTTTTCCATGGAGTGGAATTCAGAAGTGTTGATGGACAGCCTCCTCCATCAGCTTATATAAGGACAGTATCCTAGGGGGTCGCTTGAGTTAAGAGGAACCAGATTCCCTGGAGAAGTGCAGAGAAGAACCACCTGCTCCTTGAGCTACCTACAGCTTAGACTTTTACTGGAGTGAGAAATAACCCTCCTACTTGTTGGAACTACATTTATTTTGCTCTCTGTTGAAATAGTCAAACATTATTTCAGAACACTACTTGAGAATGTAAGGAAATAATATTGATTATTACAATAACTTGCATAGCATTTTAATATACAAAATACACTTCAATTTTCTCAAAACTCACAAAATACTGTGAGATAAGTAATATTATATTAATTTCACAGATGAAAAAACTAACACTTGCGAAATTTTGTTCTGTCAAAAGCCACCCCAAAGAGTGAGTTCAACTATAACAACACATTTGAAAATATAACGTCTAGTTTTGAAAATAACCAGTCGTGGCTCACGACAGGTTCTGCTGTGTTGACCTTCTCCTTTGAAGACTTTTCCTGTGCTGTCACCTACTTCACTGAACCCTGGCTGGAGTCTTAACTAACAGTTGGCCTCTAGGAAGTTGCTTAATTTTTAAGGACCTCAGTTTTCTAACCTGTTTATATAAAGGATTACAGGAAGGGGGAGATGCAAATGTGTTTTAAAAGAGCAAACTGCACTATTTGTGAATCTCAGCCAATTGGCTCAACTGCAGACATTAGATACATCAAATCAGGCTCATTTTATTTGAGAAACTTTAAAATCAGCATTGCAAGTCCTATTTGATCGACACACCTCATAGTACACAGGCCTTGTAAAATTTGGCTAGCAAGTAACTCTCAATAACCAGCTGGAAATCAGTTTAGGAGGGATTGAAATGGGATCTATATGAGGAACCTCTGGTGTAACTACCCCAGCACTTTGTGTAAATGACGCCGATGCCGGCGTGCACGTGGCGGTGGGGGCGGTGGAGGGGGGGGCAGCGGACATCCCAGCAGAACCAACAGAAGAAAGAAATGGGCCCTGCACCCCAGGGTGCATATTTCATTATTTGAGTGCTGCTTCTCATCCCCAAACTGAGTCTGGGAAACAGGAAAACCTCTTTTAAATAAAAACTCCTAGTTACAGATAGAGGGTATGCTCAGAGGAATGGAGAGTGGATTTTCAGGTTAAAAGGTGTCACTATTCAGAGGTTTAAATCGGTGAGGAATGTGCAAGGAAGCAGGCTCTTCCAATCTCCATCATGAATCCTCCATGTGTTGAAATGATGACTATTTCTAATCAGATAAACACATTAACAGGGGCCATACAGTTAACTCATGCAAATCAATAGCAAATTAGCTTTTGATTATCTAGCTTAGGTGTTCTCGGGTCATTTCTACTATTTAATTTCCTTATAAAACTAAAAATTTCTTTATCTTTTAAAATGTAGTGAAACAACTGCTAGTTAATTGAGAGAGGATCAAAAAAAGGCAAAACACGATTAATATTACTTAAGTGTTTAACCAAATTTTGCTTCCTTGAATTTCTTAAAATAATACAAATTTGGTTGCAAAATGGGCTGGGGTTGAATCCCAATTTTGCTGAAGCTAGGGAGCCTTTCCAACTGAATTTCCTAATCTGAAATCTGTGAATAATGTGCAGCATTATTATGATATTAGAGATAGTATGTGTAAAATAGGTAGTACACATTAACAAAGCATATAAATCATATACTAATTTGCTCTGCACCTGTACTGAATTAGTCTTCACTAATCACCTGGGTACGGAACTATGAAAAATCTGATCCAGTATTAGTTATCTAGGATGTGTAGCTTATGCATAGTCAATGCCAACCTAATGCTTAACCACCATCTCTTTAATAAACTTCTAGTGACCAAAAGTGAGGCAATAAGTGATAGAGAAGATGTGGGTGTGACGCTCAGTGATAATCTGGGCCAGTGAGAACTTGGGAGACACACCTCAGTTTTGCATATTTTAAAGGCAAACAAACAACCTTTCACCACTTCTCAAAAGGTTGTTAGAAAGTTGTGGTTTTCTTAAAGAATGGTGATAATCTTTGGTTCATTCTCTGAAAAATATTGCTTGTCAGACGCAGAAACAGACCTTTTCTTCCAGAATGTAGTGGTGCACACTGAAGAGTTAATGATATTTCTGTTACTTCTTTTCAGGGATTTAACATTTTCATTTAGCTGATTAAAATCTGTTGTAGATGATAATTATGCCAGGTTTTTTTTTTATCATTCACTCAAAAATGATTTTAAAATCTTTAAATGGCTTGTACCAGATTTTTATTTCTCAAAGGGTTTCTACTTATGGAAAATTTGCTTAAATTATACCCTTTTGTCATAGTCTCAGTAAATGTTAAATCAATGCAAAATGAGTAGATTTGTATTTCTAAAAATAACTTCTTTCATAGGAAGAAGAACTAAGGAAGAGTGGGGAAGCCAAATATGCCCACTTGAGTGATGAACTTCATGTATTAATTGAAGTGTTTGCTCCACCTGGGGAAGCTTATTCACGTATGAGTCATGCGCTGGAAGAGATTAAAAAATTCCTGGTTCCCGTAAGTGTTTTTATTTTTTACAAAGAAGTTTCTCAGCAGTTTTTATTTTAAAAATGTGCCTTTGATCTTCACTGACTTTTCAGAAGGAAACTCATATTGCAAACTAATTATTCAGAGTTCATATAAACATAAAATAATATATAATGAAAAAAAAACAGCACAGGACATGGCACATTGACATGTAAAGATGTTTTGACAGCAGTATTTTTAATTGCATTTATTGGAGTGATATTCGTTCCCCAAACCATAAGGTTTCAAGTGCACAACTCAGTAAAGCATCATCTGAACACTGCGTCGTGCTCCCATGGTCGCAAGCAGCCTCTCTCTGTCCCCATTTTCCATGCTTTGCCCACCTTCACCTGCTTCCTTCCCACCTCTCCCTTTATATAACACCACACTGTTGCCTGTGTCTATGGGTTATGCATACAAGTTCTTTGACTATTCCCTTCCCCTTCTTTCATCCAGTCTCTTCCTCCCCCTTCCCCTCTGACAGCTGCCAGTCTGTTACATGTATCGATGCCTCTGTTTTTATTTTGTTTGTCAGTTTATTTTGTTCATTAGAGTCTTCATTTAAGTGAGATCATATGGTATTTATCTTTCTCTGACTGGCTTATTTCACTTAGCCTAATAATCTGCAGGTCCATCCATGCTGTCACAAAAGGAAAGATTACCTTTTTCCTATACTGGAGAGTAGTATTCCATTGTGTAAATGTACCACAACTTTTTATCCATTCATCTGTCTTGGATGTTATAAATTATGATGACAATGAACATAGAGGTGCATGTTCTTTTGAATTAGTGTTCCAGGTTTCTTTAGATATACTTCCAGAAGCGTGATCACTGGGTCAGAAGGCAGTCCAATTTTTAATTTTTTTGAGGAAACTCCATACTGCTTTCCACAGTGACTGCACCAGTCTGCATTCTCCCCAGTATGCATGCGGGTTCCCTTTATTCCACATCCTCGCCAGCACTTGTTTGTTGATTTATTAATGATAGACATTCTGACAGGTATGAGGTGGTATCTCATTTACTTTGCATTTCTCTGATGATTAGGGATGTTGAACATTTTTTCATATGTCTATTGCCCATTAGTGTGTCATCTTTGAAGAAGTGTCTATTCAGGTCCTTTGCCCATTTTTAAATGAGATTGTTTGTCTTCTTGGTGATAAATTGTGTAAGTTCAGAAATTAACCCTTTATCAGATTAATCGTTGGCAAATATGTTCTCCCATTTAGTGAGTTCCCTTTTCATTTTGCTGATGGTTTCTTTTGCTGTGCATAAGCTTTTTAGTTTGATGTAGTCCCATGTTTCTTTTTTCTTTTATTTTTCCTGGCCGGAGGAAATAGAATGGCAAAAATATTGCTATGAGAAATATCTGAAATTTTACTGCCTCTGTTTTATTCTAGGATTTTTACGGTTTTAACACTAATGTTTAAGTCTTTAATCCATTTTGAGTTTATTCTTGGGTATATTGTAAGTTGGTGGTCTAGTTTAATTTTTTTGCGTGTATCTGCCCAATTTTCCCAACACTATATATTTATCTTTTTTCTAATACCATTTATCCATCTATCCCCTCCTCACCTCCACCCACCCCTTCCCTCCAGTCACCAACTGTTGTGAGTGTCCATGAGCTCTTTCCCTTTTTATCTGTGTTTCTTCGTCTCTCTACACCCGAACCACCCCCGGAGCTGTCAGCCTGCTCTCTATATGGGTCTGTATCTATTTTGCTTGTTACTTCAGTTTGTTCTTTGAGTTCCACATATGAGGGAAATCATGTGGTACTTTTATTGAAGAGATGACAGCAGTATTTATCTTCAGCACATTACATGCCATGTAACGATATCTAACCATAAAGAATAAGACAACACGTAAGCACAAATACATAATTGAAGTTGTATACTTTTCTTTTGCATCTTAATAACTTGGTAATTGATGTGCACTTTTGGCAATTTTTAATTAATAAGGCATTTGCAGGTGTAGTGGGAACAAAAGATTAGATATCTGTAACAAGACTGATATTATTTAACAATATAAAATGTATTTTTATCTCATAACATATAAAGTGCTGCCTCATTATAAAACATAATGTAAAATTATCAGTATTAATAGAACCAGACATTTATTGCCATGAAGCAAAAATAGGAAAATTGCACTATATGAGGGCAACCAAGAATGCTTGGTTAGTAAGGCAGCAAATTCAGGATTGCATATTGAATAGAATTCTCTACTGATTTTCTAAAAATTGAGGAAGATTGAATGAATGAAGCTTTTCTAAAGGTTGACAATTTAGTATTCCAGGAAGAGGTCATTCAGATAGAAATCTTGGCATCAGGCTTAGTGCTGAGAATAAGATAATCAGAAGAGACTGCTGAGTGGGGTTTTCTGGAATACCTGGGCAGAAGTCTTTTGGGGAGAGAGAGAGAGAGACAGAGAGAGAGAGAGAAAGAAGAGAGTAGCTAAAATTAATCTGTGAAGTAAAGAACAGCAGATTTCTAAACTAATCAATAAACTCAGAGGAAATGGTGGATAAGATTCATATTGACAATGATTTTGAGAATGGGAAAAGAGAAGGAAACAAATATCAAAGTCTAACCACATAAATATTTACATATATAGCCAGTTTAAAAATTTCTCTCAAGACAAGGTTATGGAATAATGCCATACCATTCAGATTATTCCCTAACTTTAAATGCACACCAAATTTCTGTACAAATTATTGTCTGGTGCTTATCTGAACACCTATGTAAATAGATCCTATCTTTCTTAAAATGAGGATGCTATGTATGTTCTCTCTACCTCTTTCCTCTGAATGAAACACCTAATGCTATTGGGTAAGCAGTTTTACTGTGTTTACCGCAGACCAAACTTCTGGTGATATTGAAAGTATAGAAAAATATTAAGACTGCCCACATTACTAACTCATTTCATGACTGTAGACAATTTATTTAAATTCCCAGAGCTTTAGCTTTTCATCTTTAAAAAATAGGTAATCGACTGACTTCTATCACATTTATTGTGAATATTAAATGAGTTAATGCATATGAAAGAGTATAGAAAATAAAAAAGCACCACGTAAATGAATGCTTTTAATCTATTTTATTTTTATAGTAGGTAGTCTTAGAATGACTTTTTGGGGTGAAATATGTAAGATGAAATACTATTTTATTGCTGCATATATATTGGACATAGGCTATAGGCTGGGTTAACCCTATTTTATTATAAATATTACTAATATATCTTACTCTTAGACCTCATGATGCTTGTGATCATCTCATTTATAGCTTCTCCACTGAAATATATACCCTATAAGGCAGGGCTAGCAGTGCCTTTCTTGGATTCCCATCATTTAGAATCATGCCTGACACAATACTTATATTTGTGTGGTAGTTTGTCTGATGGAATAGCTGACAAATAAGCGCCAGGGGTGATGAGGAGGAGTAGAATAGCTCTCTGGGCCAGGCTTGCAGGATAGTAACCCACATTCAAGGTGCTCTGTATATACATACAGATGCAGATGAAGACTGAAAACCATACCTTGAACAGTTAGATCTGTTCCTGTCTGTCTCTGCCTGTCCAGGGATTTTATCTCTGCCTGTCCAACTGCCCACTTAATGTGTTCCAGACATGCTGGCTTCTGATCACCTAATACTTTAGGCTCACTCTTCAGGGAGGGCCTTTGAAGATTCTCCTCCAAAATATTGACACAGTTCTCCCCTTTTCATTTAGGTCTTGCCTTAGCTTTTAGCATTGCAGGAAATTCTTCCCTGACCACAGAGTCTGAAATAGCCTCCCAGCATTTGTACAATTCTATTACATTTCACAATATCACTGGCTGCTTGATTTAACATTCCATTCATTGTCTTATTATGTCCTAGCCCTCTCCACTTATTTCCTCATAGCTTGTATTACCATCAGATTATATAATCTATATGTAAATATACATTTTTTTCTTTTTTTTTAAATTTGAGGTTTTTTTAAAATTTTATTTTAATTTATTTTTTCAAATACATTTGTCTCTGCCAACCCCCCACCACTTTCCCTTGCCCCCTCCCTCCTTCCCTCCCTCAGCTCTTCCCCTTTGGTTTTGTCCATGAGTCCTTGCTGTATGTTCCTTGACTTTCTCCTTTCACTGAAAGTAACACTGAAAGGAAAAGAAATCAACAGAGACAAGAAGGAAGGAGGGAGGGGGGGCGGGGACAAGGAAGGGAAGGGGAAAGTCAAGGAACATAAATATACATTTTTATCTTATTTGTTAATAGTTGGTCTTCCCACTAAAATATTAATGTCACAAGGGCAGGAACTATTGTCTAGTTTCACTGCTTTATTCCCCACTTTGAACTATGCCAGATACATTGGAAGCACTTAATAAATATTTTTATGAGTGAATAAATGATTGAATAGTTTTAAAAAATAAATAATGATTTTGATATCTCTCCATGTTGTATGAGCAAATTTCACAGTCATTGAATGTCCTCCTACTGGATCAGTTTTCCCCATTTACCTTTCCTGCCTCAGCAGCAAGCAAAGGGCAGCATCCATCTCCTTTATCCATCACAACTGCAAGGGGAAAATGAACTGCCCATTCTTTATTTATTATATGAAATGATTTGATGATCCAGGTTTCTTTGGATATTTGATAACAAAGTCCACAGAAATGCTAGCATATCAAGACATTAACATTTACAAGCACCATTGATGAAGAATTATAGCCAGGAAGAGGCAAGCTAGACAACATAAAAAGCCAATGTAGAAGAGGGCTCTGGAGTTCCACCGATATCCAGTTCCTCTACGAAATAGAGTGCTTTTCATGGTTGGAATTTTTCCTTCCTATATGTTACCAAGTATCTATACAGTTTGCCCACTGTCCAGGGGTTGTAATCGTCTAAGATTGCTGACTTTAGAACACCCAACTGTTCATAAAATCTCTGAATGCAGCAAGATGTTGGAAAACAAGACAGTTTCAGTACTTCAAATGAATTGTTATATTATTGTTCAGGGAA